AGCATCCAGTGGTATAGCCTGAATCTGGGCCTCTGCTCCAGAAAGTTCCATTGCCTTGGAAAATGTTATAAACATTAGAAACATGACAAAAAGAGGCAAATATTACTTAGAACTAGAAAAGTGGAATGCTGAATTGTATGTGTTAACTTAATCATCTAACTCTTTTACAGGCATATAGTTGCCATACATCGTAACTGCACATCTTCAGTTTATTTTAAGATGATGTCTCAGAAATAAGTGCATCTTAAATGCTAACAAACAAATTCAGCTAGATTGCCAGCTTTTAAAAGCCATTAATATGTGGGCGATTGGTAATAGATCTCTTGATCTTGTACTCATCCCTAGAAATACTATAGACATTTATTATGTATCATGTATACTATAACTACAGAGATTTAAGTACAAATATTTATACAAACTGTGAAAAAATTATTTTCCTTAGTCATTGACAGTTTAGGATCTGAATATGATTGGATAAACAATCTGAATAAATCAGGGCCTTGTTTTTTGAATTAGAGACATTCCATTAATTTTTATTTTGCTGCTAAGGAAGAAAGATGGAGAGCCAGTTTGGTCTAATGGTTAAAGCATCAGGTTAGAAAGCAGACTCTGAGTTCAAGTCCTGCCTTATCCATGAAAGCCAGTGGGGATGATTTTGGGCCAGTCATTCACTCTCAGTCCAATCCAACTTACAGGGTTGTTGTTATGGGGAAAATAGGAGGAAGGGGTAGTAGATATATTTTCTGCCTTGAGTTGTTTGTAAAAATAATAATGGCAGGGTGTAAACAAACAAACAAAGTTAATCTTAAAAGTATAGCTGAAAATGAGGTAATGTTCTTCATTTTCCTATTATTCCATCTGAGGAAAGTATTGTTATATGCCTACAGAAAGATACTCAGTCCAGAGATACATTTAACATTCTAGTTTGGAATACAGAGGGTGATTTGACAGCTTCATGTGGCAATCAGAGAATTTAACGAAGCCAGAGATTTACTATATAATAGTGTGCTTCTAACTAGAGAGGATAAATTGATAGGTATGAATATTAAAAATTAAATTCATGACTTAATCTGCCATTTGGATACTTCTTATTTTCTCTCCTGGACACTGATGTGTTGCATTGTATAATACAGGTAGTCCTTGACTTACAATCCTTTGTTCAGTGACCATTTGAAGTTACAACAGCACTGAAAAAAATGACTTAAGACTGTTTTTCACACTTATGAATGTTGCAGCTTCCCCTTGGTCACATGATCAAAATTCAGACACTTGGCAACTGGCTTGTATTTATGACAATTGCAATGTCGCAGGGTCATTTTTTTTTTTTTTTTTTGCAACTTTCTGACAAGCAAAGTCAATGGGGAAGCTGGATTCACTACTAACTGAACAACTGTAGTGTTTCACTTAACAATTGTGGCAAGAAAGGTCTTAAAATGGGGCAAACTCACAAGAAATGTCCTGCTTAGCAATGGAAATTTTGGGCTCAGTTGTGGTTGTAAATCAAGCAATACTTATATTTTACTTCATGCCTTCAGTTCATACCAAATGATTTTCAAGACCCTGAGCCCTGATCAGCATCCTAGCATGGAACATCATCATCATCATCATAATGTTGGAGTCCACAAAACAATTATTTAACACATGAAATAAATTAGCAAATGAACCCAACAAAATGTCTACAATGAGTGTTCATATATATAATATACCATTATTAAGGACAGCAAGACAAAAATAACGTAAATATTGAAGATGAATGGGGAAACTTTCAAATGTGGAAAGAATGGAAGACAGCCTGAAGACTCAATTTATATTCTGCTATATTTGGGATAGGAGAACTATAATTCTGGAGTGAATGATAGGAACTTGTGGAAAGAACAAAGCCTAACATAAAAAGCAATGTAAAGTATTTGTCCAACATAATTGAACACTGTCTCAGGATGCATGTCAGTGACAATATCTGGAAGTATTGTTGTATCTTTCATAGGGCAAGAGAGGAAGTAGATTTCACCTGCTTCCTTGCAGAGAAAGATGAAGTACAATTGAGATAGCGCAGAGAATAAGCATATTCTTTCTTTGTTTACAGGCTTTAAATCATTTCCCTGAAACCCCATGTAATGTTAATTACAATATAGTCCTGAGAATAGAATTGCCATTCAGATTTTTCCATTGCAATGTTACAGGTTACAAAAGAAACTATATATTCTGACATTAACAAATACAATGACTACTTAATATTAAATCCAAATTATCAGCATACAAACACTCTGTTCTTATTTTAGATCCTATTTAGCAGTTTTGTACAGCTCATGTCTCAAAATAGTGAGGTAGCATCTCTGCTTTTGTGGACATAGACTTACACCCCCACCACCACCAACAGAAGAAGGATTTAGGGAACTGCCCAAGATCTTGGTATCTCAATTTACCTTCCTGAAATAATTATGGTTCCTTAAATGGATAAGTTAAACTTCTGAATTTCAATTTAGGCTTTGATCTGCAAACCACAATTGACTAACATACAACTTTATGCATCTGTCCTTGATCTATCTGTAAACTGGAAGTAGATACTTACTAATAGCCAATCACAAAATCCAAATAATTTGAAAAATCTATGGCAACCTGAAAAACTCTTAGTAATACAAATCGTGAGCTAATAGTTTAGTTTTTATTAAGAGCCATGACCTTGGATCAACATCTGATCCCAGCGAAACTTTGCTGTATTTTGAGGCTGATATCATATGGTTTGGGTTATGGACAACAGTGTGATCAGCAAAGCAGCCAGCTGTTCTCTTGTAGGCAGCTGCCCTATTTCTCCCTGAGGAATTAGAGCCTAAGGAATCAAGAGCATATGTAAGCGGCAGCTTCTTTAGTGACTACAGCAGATAGATTTGGAAACATTTGCTTTGCATCTCTCAGTAAAGACCAAGGTTTGATTCTTAATGTTATGGATTTCTTCCTTTGGCTTCCTTGTTTTTTCTCTCTGTGAAATAGAGTCACCAGTTATCCTAGAGAGTTAATGGCTGCTTTTGAGGGAATGTTTCTGTGCTCACACATCCAAATAGGAAGCTATCCTGTTTCTAGGAATCTTTCCTGGCTGGCTGGCAATCAGCAGAAGCAATTGATCATTGTTCATGGTCCCATGTGAATATTTGAATAGGGCAATCATATCCTAGCTTCAAAAATTCAAATGACTGTTAAAAGCAGCAAAGCAATACAAAATCTCAGTTTACAGCTGTCTAATGGCCATCCCTATTTTTATAGCCTTAGCTTGAGCACTAAGGTAAAGTCAGCAGCAGCTCTGTAGCAAACAAAAGTCATGGCTATAGCAGCATATAATCAAATAATCTTGATAGTATGTGGTTTGCTTTCATTCAGGTTTTGGGCTATCTCCTGGAGATTGGGAGATTTCCTTTTCCATGCCCTGACTGACAAAGGAGTTTATTACATTTTGGTCATCCATTAACCTGATTTCACCTGGAAATCATTTTGCACCGAAAGTGAAAGCACATTGTAGAAGAAGCATTAGGGAATATGAAGTGTATATGTACTTATGTGTGTGATATACTGTAGAAGAGAGAAGAGAGAATGTGGTGGAATGATGAAGAAGAAGAGGAAGAAGAAGAAGAAGAAGAAGAAGAAGAAGAAGAAGAAGAAGAAGAAGAAGAAGAAGAAGAAGAAGAAGAAGAAGAAGAAGAAGAAGAAGAAGATGATTTTGAAACTTCATCTACATGATAAAGGGCTCTTCACTAAAGGCTGTGAAACATAATCTATCACAGGGGTGTCAAACTGGCGGCCTGCAGGCCAAATGCATCATGTGCAGGCCATGCCCACCCCAGCTCCGCAAAGGCAAAAAACATTGCTATACGTCACGATATGTCACATGACGCGATCGGGTTTGACACCCGTGATCTACCACATGTTCCAGTGCTAGTAAACAGATGTTTTTTGACTTGCCAATCTAGAGTTGAGATAGGATAACTGACCCAGTTAGCCAGTAGGTTTCTGTATCTAAGGGAAGACTTGAACCTGGGTTTCCCTACTCCTAGACCAACCCTTTCACCACAGTGTCCCGCTAACCCTATTATGTGGATGTATTTACATGAATTTCTCACATTGTAATTTTTATTGGGTTTAAAGGTTATCAAGATACTCAAATTAGCCTTCAAGATAATTTCAAGGATCAAACAACTGGTTAAAGATGAACCTTCAGAATTATTAAACTGCACCATTACAATGATCCAATAGACACTGTAATATTTCAGATATGGATACATTGCAACTGACACTTTTCCTGAAATATCAGAGGTGAAGAGTACTGGGAGCTGAACTTAACAGTGATACAGCTACCTTACTTTCTAATCATGACATTTTCACAACACTTCTCAATAACTCCTATTCAGCAACTGCTTTTCTCCCAATATGTAACCTTTTTTCCCACTGGTTGCAATGCCAAACTTGGAATTCTAAATAATTCAGTAATAGATAGTTCTATCTGAATGGAAGTATGGAAATAGCAAGTAAAGAGTTCCAGGGAATAGGTTATCAATGTACTCCTAAATTATTTCTCTCTCGTCCTTTCTCTCTCAGAGTAGATTTCCACAACATTATTTCATGAATTTTGATCCTGTTGTGCGTATGATGCTTTTGTTTGTGCAAATTTAAATTTGAAAATTAACCAAATTAAAATAACTGTATTTTGAATTTCATGTTGTATCACTGTAACTGGCTCCATGATTATAGGAGAAGAAGTCAAATATGTGTGGAGGCATTGGATTAGGAAGTATTGCCATATTCTAGATAGCCAAAATCATACAGAGCATGCAGTTAAGTATAAATTATTTGGTTTGCAGTTAACAACAACAACAGGAAATGAAGTCTTATCAAAAAGACAATTGTTTTGACTTGGAAGTGTAGTCCTCTCTTTTCTCCTATGATGTAATATTTCCTGTAATTTTCCAAAGTTAACCTCCGTGTTTCATAGTTTCTTTTTCTTTTCTCTGCAGGAACGAGTGGAATATCTCTTTCTCATAATTTTTACAGTGGAAGCATTTTTAAAAGTAATAGCATATGGACTTCTCTTTCATCCCAATGCTTACCTCCGGAATGGCTGGAATTTACTAGATTTTATAATTGTGGTAGTAGGGTGAGTATCTATCTTTCAATCTTTAAGAAATAGTTGCTCTTGTTTTATTTAAAAAAAACTGCAAAGATATTTGAAAATTTATATTACATTACCATGATGAATACATGGGTAAGATAGTACTTATTCCTGCCCACCCACCCTCTACCATTGCCTTTTGTAAGAGATTCTGTTTTTAAAAGATAGCTGTCATGTGGATGCTTACTATTTGAAGTATTTCAGATAAAGAGGTGCATGTAGTATGCAGCATCTGAATCCCATACATATCATCCTCATTAAAGATAAACATATTTGACTTGATAGATCATCCTGTGGAACATCATTCCTGCCAAGGTGAGGTTGGCCCCTGGGAGTTGAAGTCCATATATAGTATTTTAAAATTGCCAAGGTTGAGAAACATTGCCTTACAATATAGAAAGGGTACAGATTGTAGCCAAAAATATGTGCATTGATTAATGTTTTTGTAAGATTGACTCAGGCCTCCATCTTTCCTAGGTCAATAAAATGAGGACCCAATATGTTGACTCTGTAAACTACTTAAAGAGTGCTGTAAAGCACTATGAAGTGGTATATAAGTCTAAGTGCTATTGCTATTAGATCGATTCTGTTAAATTTGGCATTGATTCTTTTAAATCTTTTTAGAAACTGCAAAGCATGTCTGGGAATTATGTTATGGCTATCAACTAATATATTTCTAACAGGGCATATGTACATTTTGTTTAAATCATCATTGTGCATATAAAAAAATACAAATGTTTGTTCTGTTTGATCTCCTTATTCATATGCAGGATTTTCTGCACTATATAAAGTAGCTTGATTGCTTCTTTTTCCATGCTATATACTAACCATTTCATTGTTTTCTTTTGTTTTTCATTCCTTTCCCTTACTGCAGGCTTTTTAGTGCAATTTTAGAACAAGCAACCAAAGCAGATGGGGTAAATTCACTGGGAGGTAAAGGCGCTGGATTTGATGTTAAAGCACTTAGAGCGTTCCGTGTACTGCGCCCTTTACGGCTGGTATCTGGAGTTCCTAGTAAGTAACCAAGTTGTGGGGGGGAGAGTTGTTGTGGTTGGTTTTAGGAGCAAGAGCTGATACTGTGAAAAAGACACTGAAAGAAATAATTTAGAGAAATATTCTATCCATAATGTGAAGACTAATTTCAGGGCTTAGTAAATGTTGCTCATAACTAAGATTATCATTCTCGTCAAATAATTAAAAAGAATAAGGTTGAATGTCAGGTAAGAGAAACAGATTTTTGTAAGAGTGGAGTGCCATGTGGGTCATATGAGTGAGCTATTTCTGAAGGATATGAAATAATGCATCAGTTTAAAGTCATGTGAAATGAAGATGAAATCATTATAATGAATCTACTGTAAATTAAATCAGTGTGGCTAGTGAGATGCTGGCTCTGAAGTTGATGCTTATTAATAATCTCACAAATGGCTAACCTGATGAAGAAATCTCCCCATGCAATGCACACCTGTTCTTTAATGCATTAGACTGTTCTTTCTCAAGCGTCTGCACATTTGATTAATCATTTTTAATATAGTGAGGTGATAGTAGCATTATTTCCTGTCTGGTATTTTATTTTTATTTATTGTGCCCCCACTCAAATGATTTAAGATTTTTTTTATTGATTACTTAGCTAAAAAAACCCATTATTTGTTATGCTACATTGCTAATCTCTCACATCTGGAACTAAGAAAATGCATGGAGGGATGGTACAACATAAGCTAGAATTCCCACTCCTGTTGAACATCTATATGAAGTCGCTAACTGAGCTCATCTGGCAGTATATTGATGATACCCAGCTTTATATCTCCATCTATGGCCACCCAAGAGATGCCATGGAGATTCTATCTTGTTGGTGCTCTGGGAGCTTGGATGAGGAAGAATAGGCTTTAGCTCAACTCTAGCAAGATTGTGAACCTCCAATTTCTGGAGATTTTCCATATTTGGTTCAGTTAATTATATAATAACCAACGTGGTACAAACATTCTCAGAGTACTTTTTGATCCTCTTTAGCATAATGGTATCATTCTTCTCTGCATATTACAACACCTGCTACTTTTCTTCTCAATAGAAGGGAATATTTGTAGCTCAGGAGTAATTTTTGAAGTCCTTGGTGCTCTCTGAGCTTGGTTATTTAATTACAACAATGAGGTAACATCCTCAGTGCTACTTCACAGGACTTCTCACTTTTCTTCTCACAAGCACTATGTGGCCACCAGAGAGATGCTCCCGAACTCAGTCTCTACACATGCACACCTTCAGCAGATATGTGATGATGCCTTGTCATGTACTATAGAGAGGACAGATATTACAGCAACCTCAGAAGCCATGGATAGGCCTCAATGAGTCCTGAGGGTGAACCCTACATTTCAAGTTCTATTAACACCTGAAACATCAGATTCAGTTATCCCATAAATATGTCTAAACACCCCAGTGATGATGCTGTGAAGGTGGAAGAGTATAAAAAGTGGAGCTTGATATTAGACACTGAAGTCCTTCAAGACATAAAGAATAATAGCTGCTTGTCACAAGCTCTATTGCCTTCAGTGATAGCCATGCATCCACTGCCTTCTACCTTTTGGATAATTTCTGATGCCTCTTCAGCTCCTGAAACCATACAGTTGATTATCACTCCAGCTAAATCCTAAGGCCCACCCATGGAGATCACCCTTTCCCCCCCTTACTCAAGATGTTTGTCTCTACCTATACTAGAGGAATTTCTGTCTATAGTTCAGGACTGGGAGTAAGTGTTGAACAACTACAAGGCTGGTTTTGGAAGATTATATTGGCTTTGATTGACTAAAGACCACTCAAAACATTTTCCAGCCTTTTCCTTCCTTTATTTCTGTAAGTTCGGGCTCTCAGGACCAACAATTCACCCACTTCCTCTATTTGGGTAACCAGCTTCCCTATTCAAGCATGTCCACAAATCCTCAGCATTTTCCTCCATCTTCTGAATCTGGAGAAAGCCAGATAAATTGTAAACCTAGTGAGGGAAACCCCAAAACAATTGCTTCCATGGAAATTTTGCAGTTGAAAATTTCTGCAGAGTAGAAAGAAATCATCTCAAGTCTGAATGAGTTGCTGGGAATATTTCTATACTGCTTAAATTTGAATATCCTTGCTTTCTCTCTTGACTGAAAAAAATCACTTTGGCAGAAACAAAGGATTTTTATCTAATGCAGAAACTGAACAGGCTGTTGCCTTACTGTCTCAGTGTTTCTCCCAGTGAATTATTCGTACATTTTTGCTTTTGTTCTTTCTACAACTATTAGAGACTCTTCCCTTAAAGACTATTTTCATTTTTTCCTCGCTTTTTTCCTCAACAGACCATAGAGTTTTCAAAGCTTGATTCTGATGGAAGGATACATAAGATAATGTCTAAAACATTAACATTATTTATTTTCTTCATTCCATCTGGTCACCCCTGTTTGTTTTTTAATAAAGAACATACCCATGAGAGCTTTGTTAAATGTTCAAGCATGTTTTGGAATGGACTGAATTGTTCTACCATCACCTGTCCAACTATTCATCTTGAACCTGTTTGCAGCCCTAGTCTCTTGCTGCTCTGATAACAATTTCTCCACATTGAAGGCTCGTGTTCTTCTTTCCCACATAATGTCAGCAAATCAGGGTTCATCTGAATATATTTAATGTCAAAAGATACGTAGCAGATAAACTAACATAACTAATGGTAGATAAAATTCATTCAGAGGAATACTAGATTTTATTGCATTGTCCTCTTTCTGAATAGTGGAGCCCAGCTTGTTTCTAAGATTCATTAGCTTTGATTGTGAGCATAAGGCTGTGCAGGAATTGTTCTAGATAGACTTTTACAAAGTATGAGTGATTTGGGGCAATTTGGCATCAGATTTCATATGTCAAAATATCTTTTTATCTTGTGATTCCATGGATAATAAGCAAGCAAAAAATGTCTAATTATAATGGAAATAAATTGTAAATATTAATGCTTTCTGTCACAAAGTAGACATAAAACTACATAGAGTGTATACAGACAACAGGAATGGCTGCCAGCCTTTACCAGTTAAGCAACTGTTTATTGCAGAACAATAAGTAGAGTTTTTGTCAGAAGATGATTAAGAAAATAGAACATCTTGCTTGTTCACCAAAAGGGCATTTCTAAAATGCTGCTTTTCAGCTATTTGGATTCCAAATGGCTGGTCATTCAAGAAGGCTATCAGCAGATCACATGTAGTGGGCATTAAATATGGCATTGAAGCACAAACTGACAGTTGAATTGTTTTCTGAAAGGCAAAGATATGACCATGTAAAGGTTTCTAGAGAATAAATCTAAACAAATCTAGGTTGTAGATGCATGAATGGGAGAAACTGCAATTGCATGCCTATGTTAGCTTTATTGTCCCAAATACTCTACTACGGTACTCTAGTATCCAAACTTCTGCCTTTTTTATCATGTTTTGAAAGGAAATAATTCCATGTATTCTTTGAATTTTTAATATTTATAGAACCATTAAACTGGGAGCACAGAGGGCTCTAGTGTGGGTAGATGTTCTCATTTAGGAGGAAATATTCAATTCTGTATGGAAGAACTCAACTGAGAATTGCTAAAGTTGGATTTGTATATGAAAAAGCAGTCAGAAAAGTAAGTTCCTACTGACAAAATATAGAGCTATGTTTCCCAGCCAGGGAATTTCCAAATGTTTAGACTTAAGTCCTCAGCAAGCATAGCCATTCCTGAAATTGAACTCTGCACAATTGGAGGTTGTTCCAGTTGGGAAGCACTGGCCTGGAGTGTTTTGTGACATATGGAATTGAGATTCATTTGGATCTGAGTTCCAAATCTGTGATAGAAATATACTGCAGTTCAAAAATGCAACAGTGCATTCACACTTCATATGTTGTATTGTTTAGCAAGAATTAAGAAATGTGATTGTTCCCCCATTACACAATTCAAGCATTTATTAGAAGTAATACCAGTGGTTATTTAAAAACAGGTTAATAAGCAGTTACAGCAAAGTACTGGGTGTATTTACCCAGGTACAAGTCTCAGTATGTTCATTATGGCTGATAAATGTAATTAGGATTGCAGTCTTAAGTTTATACCGCATGGAAGATTGTAGTCTTCTACACTGAGATTAATTGGTCCAAGGAAAACCTTCCAAAGAATTACACTGCATATCTGTTATTGCAATCAAAGGGATTTAAAGGTACTACAGTAATCTTTGGCTGGATTACACCCTAAATTAATTGCTAGGAAAAAGGACTGATTGATTGATGAGCATAGCTGAGACAATATTATATGAAAAGGGCAGGAAAATAGGTGATCATAAGAAAAAATGTAAACCATTCATCCCTTTTTCTTTTCATTGTAACAAAGCATAGATCTGTAACCAATTTTTTTCTTGTGGACATTGCCGCAACACAGTATTTTGCCACTGCATGCGTGATAGAAGGGTTTTGAGTCCTGGAGGAGAAAGCCTACATCAAAATTGTTTGCCCTCCCTGGCAATCTCTCTAACAAGGGGAGAATATATACTATCCTATAAACTCGGTACAACTCACAGTACAGTAAAACATGTGAGATGTCTTCGACTTCTCCTTTACCACATATACATACCCGTTCTGCTACTGGTGTTCTCTTATACCTGCCCTGGAGGAGTGCTGAGAGAAGAATGTTAAATCTGGCTCTGAAGAAACCTATTCTTTGTTTTAGGAAGGTCAGATCATTCAGATATCTTGCCGATTCCCACACACCCTGTTTGATTCTATCCCTACTGTGGCAAGGCAACCTATTTAGTTCTTCTTGGAACTCCATGTCCTTTATTCTATTGGATACTACTTGCTTTGCTTGGTCAAAGCCTAGGGACATTAAGAATACCGAAGAGAGCCCATAAGAGCCCAGTTTATGATCTATCGCCTGCTTCCAGGGGGAAGGGAAGTTGTCAGTCAGCACTAACGGGGACAGTCCCTCTGGAAAGAAATGCATTTTAAGCCAGTGAATGATCATCATCTTCCAGGCTCTTACCTGGATTTGGGGC